TCTATCTTTTCATTAACTATTTCTTTCTACCCACCATTAATAGAAACAAGAGAAACATAGAACTATGTCTCTTAATATAATAATTTTATTTGATATTTTATTTCGACAAATATTTTGTAACAGGATGGAGAGGACTGGCCTGTCATCCCACCAATCAGAGTGCAACAGGAAGTGGAAATCTACAACCCTCTTACTCTGCAGCCCTCTGTGATTGTGTTTCCATGGCAACCCCACAATAAGGTGTACCAGTACAATATTCAGGTACTGTTAAAATCAATATTGTTATCTGTGTATGTTGAAGCATAATGACCGTTTGCTATAATAGAATCTGTGTTGCCAGGTGGAAGGAGGAAGTGGCTCTGTGATGTGGGAAGTGTCTGATAGAGAAATTGCCACAGTTACAGTAAAAGGGGTGGTCATAGCAGGAAAGAGGAGGGGCCAGGCTGAAATTCAGGTTTCAGATTCCAAAAACATCCTGCACAAAGTAGTCGGGAAGGTAATATTTGGTTCACTATCCTTGTTGGGACTCCCCACAGGCGTAATGGTTTTTATACTGTACAAATGGTATTTTCTATCGCCCTACGCCAACCCTACACCTAAACCTACCCCTCGCAGGAAACTTTGTGCATTTTTACAATCTCAAAGAAAACTCATTCTGTATGATTTATAAGCTTCTGTACCCATGGGGACCTCAATTTAGGTCCCCACGGTGACAAAAGTCCCCATGAGTTGGTGTGTATTCAGGTTTAAGTCCCCACCAGTGTAGAAAAACCTGTACACACACACAGGCTATAAATTCTCATATTTCATTCACTGTTTGTGTACAGGTGATGGTTGTGAGGCCTGCCCGGTTGCAGCTGATTCCCCAGAGGGGCGATTGTCGTGTGGGGGACAGGATAGACATTCCCTTTGCTCTCTGGGGCATTCAGGACCCACCAAACACTTGCTCTCAGACAAATTATGTCTTTGATACACATTCGTACACTCACAGGAGCATCAGTGCAAATTCTCAGGCAAACTTGTTCTCTGATGCACACCATCTTCAATGCGAAGAGTCTCTACTGGAGGATAGAAATCTTGTGTTAGTCACAGACTGCTCTCAGCTCTCTCTACACGTCCAAGCTGAACCTGCCGGCATCTTCACACGCATGCCAGGTGCAGCATCTTCACCCTCTCCATCTCTGCATTTCTACTTTGTCCATCCATTTACACTCTACTGGTTTCTTCAATATTCTGTTTCTCTGATGGCACTTTCATTCATCCGCCTGCTCTAATTGTTTACCTCAGGGCATATTGAACATGAGGAATAAGTGATCTACTCCCAGTCACACACAGAGACCTCTCCTCCCAACTCTCCTTCTCTCTCTGCCCTCCTCCCTTATTTAGGACTTCCTCTCCACTGCACGCACAAATTAAAATAGGATTAATAGAGTGGGGGAACTATGATGTCAGAATCGGAAGAGTAATTCACCACGGGTTCCTTCGAGATTTTCCTATGGGGTTTTTCAATTAATGAGTAAAATAAAGCTTGTGGTAAACATAAATTGACGATACTTTTACGTTTTGTTCTACATTCACCATGGTGAAATGAATTGAATGCCAACAATAAACAGCTATGCATATAGGACAAATGACCGCCAATAATTTTGGAGGGAAAATAAAGACAACATTAAAAATAATAAAATATAAAATTAAATGAATAATTTATTATTCACCAATAATCATGCATTTTTTTTTAAGTTTTAAAACAAAATAAAATGTGATAAACAAAAAGAATTATAATTCTCAATTTGCACACACTTTTTTTTTTTTTTATTGCTTCAAACAGATTAACAAAAGATTTTAACATATAGATACAACACAACCTATTCACATTATTACAATCATACAACTTACAGGAACAAAAAAAAAAAGAAAAGATATTTCTTCCTTTTCCCTAGAGACACATTTAGTATACAAATGAGTTGAAAAGCATAGCGGGGACATTATTTTTCAAAGAATTTCTCCATAAAATTTAACAAAATTTCATTCTTTTTGTTATTAATTAACACTAAAGACTTTTTTAACAACTCCATTTCTTTTAAGAATACTTCACATTTAGGTATACAATCCGCAAATTTTTGTTTATGAATGTAATATTTACCATGCAAAATGTAAAAGTTTACAACATATTTAAACATTTTGCTTTTGTGCGTGTAAGAACATATAACATCTTTTAAAGATAATTTATAATTAACATTTATTGGGGCAAATAGAAAAAAAGCTAACATCAGACCAAAATTTCAAAGATAAATCACAGCTGTAAAACAAATGACCCAAGTCTTCCTCGTGTATATTACAAAAACTGCATTTGTTTTCAATATCCATGAATTTTGAGGCGGGGCATAGAGGAGAAACAATAATGTACATTGACACAGACATTTAAATACACATACGTACTAGTAAAACAATACATTTAGAGTTTGTAAAATACACACAGATGTCTATGGAAGCAGCAAAAACAGTCTATTCAAATATAATTTGCCGAGGCATTCTATTTATATCAGATACACATAGTGTAAGTAACTATAAAGTTCACTCTATTATTCTCCCAGTTCATCAGCCACTTACTTAGCTACATGTATTTCGGGAGAAATTGATGAATTTACGTGCCGTAAATCCGATTGACAGGACTCCCTGAACTGCAGCGCCCATCTTATCGATCACGATTAAGATCACTTATAAAGGATTTTAAACGACAAAATACACTGACTTACACATATGTGTGAATCGGAATATCAGATAGTTGATGACATGGTAAGCAGGTTTGTGAACATATTCTGAATAAAAAAGGAAAAACTAATTAAAAGCGATACATGTGTCTGTTAACCTGTTAACATTTGGGTACCAAAATACGGGAAAATAATTTTGATATTATTTATATATTTATTCAAGCATTTAACATTTATAAGTTAATTAAATGTCAGTAATGAACTGGACAAATTATAGCGATCAGGAAGAAGGCCCTCTGTCCCAAACGCGTACAGTATAGTGCAGGGATCCTCAAATCTGGCCCACGAGATCCATTTTCCTGCAGAGTTTAGCTCTAACCCTAATCAAACACACCTGAGCATGCTAATCAATGTCTTCAGGATCATTACAAAATCACAGGTAGGTGAGTTTGATCAGGGTTGGAGCTAAACTGCAGCGCATTGGCCCTCCAGGGCAAGATTTGAGGAACCCTGGTATAGTGGATATTGTATACAACTCCCCATCAATAGTTCTATACTGCCACCTGTTGGCGCAGTTGTGGAACTTAGAGAACAACCTTTGTTAGGCTATGTCGAGATAACGAGAAAAATAGAGAAGGGTATATAACTGCAGCCCGGAGATTTCCAAATTGGGGCGGGAACTCCAAAACGGGGTGGGAGCTCCAAAATAGGGCGTGGCTTCCTCCCATTGACAGGCAGGCACATGACACGCATGCGCAAGTTTTTCCCCCAATCCACTTCAGTGCAAACTCCGCCCCACAGCTGATTATGTTGTGATCACGCAAAAATTAAGTCGTGATCACGAGAAAACAACTCGTTATGTCGAGATCACGAGAAAAATAAGTCGTGATCATGAGAAAACAACTTTTGTTATGTCAAGATCATGAGTAAAATAAGTCGTGATAACGAGAAAACAACTTTTGTTATGTCGAGATCACGAGTAAATTAAGTCGTGATAACGAGAAAACAACTTTTGTTATGTCGAGATCACGAGTAAAATAAGTCGTGATAACGAGAAAACAACTTTTGTTATGTCGAGATCACGAGTAAATTAAGTCGTGATCACGAGAAAACAACTTTTGTTATGTTGTGATCACGCGAAAATTAAGTCGTGATCACGAGAAAACAACTTTTATGTTGTGATCACGCGAAAATTAAGTCGTGATCACGAGAAAACAACTTTTGTTATGTTGTGATCACACGAAAATTAAGTCGTGATCACGAGAAAACAACTCGTTATGTCGAGATCACGAGAAAAATAAGTCGTGATCACGAGAAAACAAGAAGGAAAAAATAATGCATGGCCGCTTAGAACTTCCGTAGTCATTAGTATAGTTGGTGCAACTAATTCTACTACACATCATAAATGGCTGTGAAAATAAAATAATTAATAAAATAGTTAATTTTATGAAGCTTATCTAAAAATGTATGTAAAACAATTTTGCTATAGTATCATTTATAAGTATTGTAGTATTTATCAATATTTTGAATTAGTTTTAATTTTTCATTTCGATTTTAGTCATTTTGTTGTTTTTGTCGTTTTATTTTTTTATTTTATTTTTCTGTTTAATTTTAATATTTTTTTGTTCAGTTTTAGTTTTGGCAATTTTAGTACTTCAATTTGTTTGTTTTTTTTCAGTTACTTTCCAATACAATTGTGTTTTTTTTTTTTATAATATTAATTTTCAAGTTAAAGGTTTTCATAAAATATTTTTGATTCTATTTAAATTAAAGCTGCAGTCCGTAACTTTTTTTGGTTAAAAATGATCCGAAATCAATATTTGAGCAAGTACATAACCAGCCAGTGTTCGAAACTATCGCCTTACTTTATCCCGATTCACAACAGTCATCTTATAATAATGTTTTCTAATTTGAGTGGTATGGGTAGGTTTTCGCGGGAAATTCGAGCATGCTGCTATAAGAGGCATCATTACGTCACTTCTGTAAACATAAAGAAGTTGTCCCGGCTACTAGGCTATCGCGTGTGAGGATCCTGCAGGTGACCAATCGTTTATAGCCTTTTCTCACAGCAGCCAGAATAAGTAAATGTATCATTTTGATGGCGGATTGTAATCCAGAAAGGATTATGTGTTTATGAAACACATGTGAAGGAAATTTAATTATATTCCAGTTTTAAATGTGCTTCTGATTACAGATAGCCTGTGATTACACAAGATTTGTATTATAAAGACAACCAGTTCGAAGGGAGCATAATTTGCTTTTTGGGTTAAAAGAATTCCTTAATATGAAATTCGAGTGGTATGACGATTAGAGATTAGAATGTACAGAGATTGAAATCTACTCGCTTACACACTATACTCATAGTCACGCAATGCTGATGTTGTTAACATTAAGAATTTGAGAAAAAATATGACAATAATAATAATTTGCACGGTTTGATGTGATATGAGCTAATTTAGATTAAATCGGCAGTTACTTACTTGTTCAGATGACAATATCCGAAAAATGAAAATGCTTATTTGAGTCATATATTCCAAGACGTAGGCTAGAATCTGTGAGTGCAAAGTACAATATCCACACCGGTGCGGTGACTGACTGCCACACATACTCCTCAAAACATTAGATTCATCTGCGCTGGAGCCGTGCCGCCACACAACCCACGCAAGCGAGATAATTCCGCACATAGCTGCAATTGCAGGTTTTCAAACAGAGATGGTGACAAAGAGGCAAAATTTACGGACTGCAGCTTTAACAAAAACACATTTTTAATAGTTTTAGTTAATAATATCAACACCAATGTAAATCCACTACCAATCAAAAACTAGCAGTATTTTTGATGCTCTTTTCATCTAAAGTATCTAAACATAAAAAGAAGAAGAAGAAATGTTTACTTGAAAAACTAAATTGCATGAGATTTTGTGTTTTTGGGGAATGTATCGAAATAAGTTAATTTTATATTATGTTTATGTGTCTTACTTTTAAGTTTAAGTTTATTTTTATGAACCACATGAATATTCCCTTTCTGTCTCTACTTTTCTGCCTCTTTATCTCTCTCAGGATCTCTGTCTCCAGGTGCTGGATTCTGTGGAGGGGTCCGTATGGAGGCTCTTTCATGGGGTCACACTGTTGTTACCATCACAGTGGAAACAGAGGGATGCAACATCAGTGAGACGACAACACTGGTGGCCTACAGCCCTCTCAAAGTACGCTGTTTCTGTGTGTGTGTGTGTGTGTGTGTGTTTGTGCACGTATGATTTGTAGTAAGTGTCATGTCTGTATAAAGGGTGATTTATCAGCCCTATGGTGGCTATTTATTAAGATAATGAACTGTTTGGGAGTAGCAGAAGATTAATGTGAAACTGAGCGCTCCTGATCCCTGATGTATGACTCTGTATGTCAGGGACATAGAGAGCAGCGGAGCTCTCTGGTCCAGGGCAAACGCTGCCAAGCACACTCATGGGAATTTAACAGGACAATGTGTTGGATCAGTGCTTTGCTTTTGTCAGTAAGACACTAATGATAGACAGCAACAACTTTAACAAGGACATTATCGTGAGCTTTGTACTCCATGTAGCCTCTCAGTGACATTGTTTTCTCCTTCTTTCACTTAGTCTATTGCGTCTGAGGTTCTTCTCTCAGTGGGCTCATCTCGTGTGGTTATATTCGAGGATGGGCCTCGGCCCTGGCCCCCGGCTCCCTTCCGTTTCTTTAGTGACGTCGAGGTGCAGCCAGAAGGGGGTGTTACCGTGGAGGCACTGAGTCCAACCGAAGCAAGGCCACCTCGACATGCGTATCAGGTCATGTGCACCGCCGTGGGAGAACAGGTTTGAAATGTCCTCAACTGCAATGTGACTCAAGCATCATATGTACTGCATTATTACACTAAACTCATGTAGGTGCAGTTATTAATAATAATAGATTTCATTTTCTGTATTTACCCACAAACATATGGAGTATTTACAGAACCAGAAGATTAAAAATGAGCATTTAATAAACAATAATCAATAATAAGTAATGTTTAAAATCCCACCTACAGAGTGTACATTTTGTCATTTTTATTAATTACATCTTTTTATATTTCATTATATTTAATAAATATATACACTACCAATCATAAGTTTGGGGTCATTCATTTTTTTTTAAAGAAATGAAGGATGCATTGAGTTGATCAATAGTGACAGTTAAGACATATATATATA